GTTGTTGTTACTGTATTTTACTTCAATTACTAAACTGTTCTTATCTCAACCCATGGGTTTTACCTTTTTCTGATTTTCCTGCCCATCCCACCAGAGGGGATGTGTGTGAGCAAGTGGCTGTGTAGTCCTAGTTGCCGGCTGAAGTTAAACCATGACACAAGTACATGTTACGAGACAAATTTCCATAGTTTCTGTAACCCAGATTGAGAGTCTTTTTTCCCTGATCTGAATTGCTGGAATTTTAGCAATATTACAGTTATATCCTTTCCTTCTTGATATTTGCTAAGCTTCTCAAGTAGGAAGAGATTTTTAGAAATTATAGCAGTAAGAGGCAATCTTAGGTCTGTTAGTCTCTGAACATAATGAATTTGGAATTTTGGAATGCTGATACATTCACCATGACAGTGCTGAGCAATCCAGTTGCCTTACAAATGTCTGTGATCTTATAATTCTGTTTTGTATTAACAATAGATAGATATGTCTTTGGTCATATTCTTTGTTTCTGAAACACTGTTTGACTGGCTTGTTTTTGTGAAATGAATTTCAGTTCTTTGCCTTTTTCTTGCTTTTGATTGTGCTGTAAATTTCATAATGTGTGATATTTCTTACTTTTAGAATCAAATGCAATCAATCTGAATTCTATGTCTGTTGACACGGGAGTCACGGACAACGCAGAGACGATCAATGTGATCAAGCGATTGCCAAATTTATTACAAAGCCTTAACCCCTTATATACTATTTCTTACATGCACTTACAGTGATTTGGCATATTATGATTGGATACATGTCTTGAAGACCCTTAGTGACTAACATGTAATTGGTTAAGCACAGGTGTGAGAACTTGACCTCGAAAGCTGGCCAACAGTCCACAGTTCTCATTAACTCGGTGAAATCCAGCTTCTTATCTTGCTTGCTTAAGCGTCATCAGGCCTCTCATGGCCTTGCTGTATCCTTCAGGATTATTCAGAGTTTGTGTACTAATTATGCATTCTCCCATGAGAACACTGTCTCCACACATGTATGTCTGTCAGAGGACAACATGCATAAAATATTGAGTAGGTGTAAGGAAAGCTTGGCGTAAGAATTTGCTAGATAGTATTTTCAGGCTTAATGAATTGTTATTATTGTAATAATAATTCTATATTATTATAATAATTAATAGTTAATGTAATAAAATAAGTAGTCCATGTTCTCAGTTTCTGTATTTTCATGTCTTGCATGGTTTGAAATAATACTCGTTTATAAACTAGGAAGTGAAGAGATGTTAGCTTTGGACAGCTCTGATCTAGACCTTGTGTATTATCAAAGCTGTAATTATAAGCTCATTTTTTTATTCCATAGCAAATGAAACCTTGTCTTATTTTTGTAATAAGTTGTTTTGGGTGTGAAAATACTTTTCTTCATGGAAGAATGTTTGTATTTTAATACATTTGGAGAAAAAATGTGAAAGAAATATACATGCGTCCCTCTAACTTTCACAACTTCATCTAGATGCTGCATGTCTTTTTGTTATTAAAATTAGTAGGATGAGCTGATAAGAGCCTGTTCGGTAACATTGTGTTAAGAGATTAAGCTGTGAGCCTTAGCACGCAGCTTTTGTTACCATGTTCCAGAGGCAACATGTTAGCTCCCTGAGAGATCAGGGTTAGTCCCCAGGTTTTATGGCGCTCAGTTACGTGTTGTGCTCACTTCTGTCATTTGCTGCTGCTTTAAATAATAACTCTGCTTCTCTTATTTACCAGTATTATATTGATGGTTTTAAGGTTAGGCTTCTTTGTAAATATAGACTTCCGAAAATACATATGACAATAATCTGGTAGAATTTTGGTAGATTATTACAACAGAATTAACATGACTTGCTTCTTGCTTTGTAGAAAAGGTTAATTTTATTTTATTCTTTCAACTTTGCTGTCGTATTTAACAAAGATTAAAAAGTAGAAGTAATAAATACACAACTACTCTTATTTTTCCTTATAAAAAAGTCAGTTATTACTAGCAATTATGTATTGTGTGACCCTCTACAGAGCAGAGGCTAATGAGGCTATATCAAGTGTTTCTTCTGTCTCTGCATGCTGATTTACATGGGGATGATCTATAGAAAGGATAATAGAAATTAAAATTGAAACTTGATTGACTTATGCAAGTTATAGAAGGGAGACCAAAAATAAACGAAAAAAATCATTATTTCAGCTATATTTACTTTTTTCTTCTCCAAACTAGATGTGTTATTACCTCATTCTTTAAGATATTAAGAGATTTTAATATTTTCAAAAAACACCCAAGAAGAAATAAGGCAGTCAAAGCTACATTTTTTTTTTTTTTCCTTCTATCTAAAGAAAATAATGTAACTATCTCAGCACTCTGTTAATGAAATAAGGCAGTCAAAGCTACTTTTTTTTTTTTTTTCCTTCTATCTAATGAAAATAGATAAGACTGTGAAGGTTTTCTTTTCCCATTAGGAGAAAGTAAACAGTGTTTCATTTAGATTTCAAGATGTCACTAAGAACAGGATTGGAGTCACTCAAGCCACTTGAAAAAACTTTAACCCTTAGAGCTGGCACTAGGTGGAAGGATTAAAAGATGTAATTATTAAGGTCATGCAGGCAAATACTTTTGTTCTTTGCTCCTGGAATCAAATGACTCATGACATCTAAAATTTATTCTCAATACTACATTTCTAGCACTCTTTATTTGTTAAGACAAGCTTGTAAAATGTACTGACACCCTTACAGGATTGGGGACAGAAGCTACAACTTCCTCTTCACAGTTGAACTGATTGTGTTTGAAGCCAGAGAACAGCCAACATCCTGAGTTTGAAGTATGCAAGCTTGCCAAAGGATGCACGTGCAGATACTTCTGCGTGCAGATTTGACACCAATTGATTGAAAATTTGTGTAACTGAAGTTGTAGGGAAAATTAGGTAGTCTTTCATGTCATTTTGACTGTCTTGTGGTGGTACTGCTAAACATCGATAGCTATGTTCTATTTTTTTATCAATTAATTATCTCTCAGTAGCTAAAAATGATTCGAAGTAATTTAAAAACTTGTGAAATCATTAGCTAGAATTTTCAAAATAGTTTTGCAGGTTCAGAATTTTTATCCAAGGTAAGAAGTGTTTTATAATCTTAGCACTCTGTTAAATTATATATGTGATAAGAATTTGTGAAAGCTTCTTTAAACTGCAATTTCCATTCACTTTTCAATTACATCATATTTGCTGAAATACCTAGAGAACATACTGTCTAACACTTTTTTTTCTGATTATTTATCTTAATAATATTAGCAATAAGATCTCATTATTAGGATGTATTTTTCTGGAATAACTATTTATTTAAATTATTTACTACTAAAATTATTTCTCATGGCCTAATTGAGCTCAGTAAGCCAATAACAAAATGAATCTTGTTCAAAATCATATCTTACAGGAACAAAAGTTTCTCACATACATAGAATTTTTTTTAATGCTCTAAGTCTTATCTGATTTTAGGGAAACAACTTCATGAAAATGTATAATTCTGAGGTTATTTTATACTTTACATCATAGTCCTGGTGTAACTTCGAAAGAAAAATAATTGTTATGCTTGCTAATTTTCTTAGCAGAGAAGGTGCATATTTAAGCAAGTATAGAATCTGGAGGTTCACCCTGTTTTTCTTCCATGTCAGGGGTTACCATGTTAAATATTTCTCTACTTTTTTCTGTATTGATAAAGTAAGGCAAATTTTTCTCAATTGCAAACAAACAAACAAAAAAATTATTTAGATTATTAGGCTTTCACAGTTTTCAAAGGTTGAAAATTTATAATGGTGTTAAATTATGATTCAGGTACTCTGTCAGAGGTATGCTGTTTTATTTGTAGAGTGAATTTTCATTCTAGATTTTAGAATAAGGAAGCAGTGAGGGGGCAAATAGATATGAAGGGCTATCATTCAATTATTGTGCTATTGTAAGTTATCAGAATTAGGTGGCTGTTTTTAAAATCTAAAATTAGCCACCCAAACATTTAAATCAGCTTGGAAGATAATTGGTGGTGGTGGTAAGTGGAAAAGGTCCCTGAGGATGTAGGTGCATTTTGCAGAAGTTATGAGAAATTCAGAAATTGCTTTTTGTTGTGTTGGTTTTGACTTTTTTTTTTTTTCTCCCCAGAATCATCCAGTAATTTATTTTTGTGTAAGGCAGGAGAAATTCTTACTATTTATCCTATCAAATGCATTTTTTAATCCATGTCATGTTAGCTGATGTAAATGCACAGTGGTGCGTTTACGTGAATGTGACTGAAAATGTATTTTATGAACTATATTTTTGAGTGACACAGTATAAACAATGCAGTTTAAAAAATAACAATATAGACTCAGTCATAAGTATATAGTAAGGTCCTATTTTATTTCAGTAATCCATTTGTTACATTAATTAATTTGTAATCTTTTTCTTGCTTGCACCGTTAGGTGTTGCAGTTGTTGACAAGGCAAACATGAGCTTTCTTCTCATCTATACAAGCTTCTCTAGCAACATATTGGAACAGCAGTGGCATGTAGCATTTCATGACCTGATGACTTCTGCAATAATCACTGAGGAAATGCAAACATGAATTTAAAATTACATTTTCTTATCTTTTGTCCTCATTACTGTGAATTTATAGTTCTTCCCTGGAAGAAAACTCTCAAAGCTTAAATCTTGCAATATAAATTTTCCAAAAGTTACACAATAATAAAGAAGTGGAAATTCACATTTCTATTCTTTTCCAAATGACTTGTCTTTATATATTTCAAGCAACTCACATATTTAAGGAATTATGGGAATATTGATATAAAAGCATTCAATCTAAAATAATATTTTTCTCCAGTGTATGCATGTATCCGTATGCATTTTCAATGAATTCTGTGGAACAATTCACAAAATGAAGAAATTGAGACACGGTACATTACGCTTGTGGATTGTGCTCTTGCTATTTAAAAATTACCTACAGTCTTTTAACTGTGATATTACTGTATGTGTCTTCCAGATGTGTGGAGGTGATTGCCAAAGAAGGCCGGAATCTGAAAGAGCTGTATTTAGTATCCTGCAAGATCACTGACTATGGTATGTAATGTACCTATATCTTTGTTTTTGTGAAGATTGAGCTCTGCAGATTTTTCACAGGGGCTGTTATAAAAGTGTTGGAAATATATAGATGAAAATTTTCAAAACCTTTATCCACAACAAAAGTGCAAGAAGTTTTTGACATACTTTAAAATATCTGTGGGTAGAAGTATGAAAGTCAGTGTATGTATGCGCTGCAGAGTGTTCCTTATAGAATTGACAGTTACGGGGTAGAGTGTGTAGAGTGCTCTTTGAATTGTCCTGGAGTCCGGGAGAGCACTTGAAAGAAAATCAAAAAATGCATGTGCATTTCTAGGTGCTGTAGAAGCGTAACTAAGCAACTATGCCTGGGGATTGATTGCCTGTTGTAGGCCATAGAATTGAATGAACTGGATGATACCTTAAGAAAGCTGTCACAATGTAAATAGATGGGAACATCTTAGAAATTAGGCTTTCTTTCTCATAGGCCAGATAGAGAAACAGAATTCATACTTGAAATTGGAAAACTTCTTAGCACTCGACTGTATTTGCTGAAGCTGCTTTGGTTTATTTTGTGCTTTTGGTTTTGGTTTTTTTTTCAAATAAGATACTGACCTCAAATTGGACACTTATTTCTGCAGTAAGGCCAAATTCTCAAACATCTATCTCCCATTTTCATGCTTACTTTTCAGTAGGATTTACAAACTGTACCTTTGAGATATACCTCTCATGTTTTACAAGTATTTTTTCTCATTCGCTTTTTTTTTTTATTTTTAGCTTTTATTCTATAGCATTTATAAAGAATTACTATGTCAAAGTGGCAAATTACCTTTCCAGTGGTCACAAGTTTCTTTTTTTTATTTTCCCGTTTGTTTTATTTTCCCCTTCAGGTTTTGGACTTTGCTAGGGTTTGCATGGGTGCATTCAAGAGTATGTTGGTCTGCAGAGTTCAGCTCATCTCATGTCCACAGTATTTGAACATGAGTTCACAATGCAGCTGTAGCAGTTGTGGGAGCTTTGGGGCATGTCAGAGGAGAAGGGAGCATGGGCTTATACTGCCATTTTCTCTGGTCTGCAGTTGTGCTTCTATGTGCAAAACAGATCTTGCCAAGTTGAAAATATAGATTTTCTTGGCTTGATACCACTTGGTTAAGGTGTATTCCTGAATTTGTGAAACAGGAACTGCCTGCTGGAAATTCAGGGAAGGGGATTGTCTGTAGAGCACAAAGTGACCATGAAGGTGCTTCTCATCATTGCTGTAGGGTCAGAGCTGCAGGACTTCAGTTGGAAGTGTGACTGTCCTTTTGTGTATTATAGATCTATTATCTGTACTCATCCTTTGTGACTTTGACAACTCATGTAGAAAGAATTATCATGGGAATAATAGAATCCACATCTTGAGGATCAGTAATTTCTCATTGGCTGCAGTTACTGAGAACAAAACAGCATTTCTTCAAACATACACTGAGGAACTGAAGCAAAGAAACTGAGGATGAGTAAAGTCTTGCTTATGAAAGAATGGAAGGAGGGTAAAGGAAGTGGGGATTTCCAGATAAAAAGTGGGCTAGATTAAAAGTTTGTTTCACAGAATGAATGAGTGGAGAGATTATACAGACTTACATAATTATATTATTATATAAGTATATTATTATAGAGTTTGGATTCTAAGCTTGACAACCAGAGTCATCCAGCCTGAGCTGTTGATTTCTGTGGACTATGGTTCAGTCAGATACTGAGACTGTGAGAACTTTCTCAGTTGACAGTGTTGATAGTAGGTTTTACTGTGTACTTGAAAATTTGACTACTTAAGCTAATAAGGATCAGTTAGACATCCAGCAAAACAGCTGTGATACTGATACATTATTAAGACTAATTGATTATCATTATAATCTTCAGCATATCTCAGCATGCCAGCCTGACAAATATATTCATCTGCTTGTGATATCTTGAGCTGAAAATGCAAAATAAACTGTAGTGAAGTAGAATTTATGAGCATAATTTGTGCTTTGTAAGGAAGTCAAACTTTGCCTTATATTAAAAATGCAATAGCAAGTGAGTATTAACTAACAAGAATGTTCTAGGGTGGAGCCAGGCTTCACCCTTTCCCTTTCTTCCTTTTTCGTTTCCTGGTACATCAGTGGAAGACTTCCCACTTTTGTCTGTGGTGCTGTTAAGTTAAAAAGTGAGCTTCTTACAGTGCTGTGAGCTCAGTTTGTTGTTGAAGTTCCTTTATCAAAGAAGCTGCCTGTTTTCTACAATGTGAAAAAGAGCAGTTTAAGTTGTAACTGTGCACATTTTCACTGGATTTTTAGAACATACCTAGAGCTGGTAACCAGATTTCTTGCAGCTTTATGGAGTACAGATGTAGGGTTATAAAGCCCTCTTTGAAATTGTTCAGACTCTGGGACAAGAGGTCAAACTGTTTAGCAATTCATCTGGAAAAAAGTAAGTGATACTGCTGATTTCCAACAAAATTTGTAATCATTTGAGACATTAATTAAGCAAAAATAATAATTGCAGCAAAAAAACTGTTGTTGCCTGAAATTAATTCTATAGGTATGTATGTGTGAGGTAATTTCATGTAATCTAGTGATGACTACAAAGTGTGAACTTTGTCACTTTATTCCTTCCATTTATTTTCCAATTTCTACAAGAAGACAGTATGCCAAATGACCACACATGCAATTATTATTTTTAAAACACATTAAAATACTATATTCTATTTTGAAGCCTAAAAGGTTAATTAAAAACCCCTACACCCTGTCAATACAGTCATGGCCAGCACTACTTTCTCTGACATTTTGCTAGCCAGAAAGATATTACATTACATAAAAATATGGACAGAAGAAGATTCAAACAGGAATTCAAGTATGTGTACATGCTAAAAGTTGTTAACTTGTAAAAAAAAATGCTCTATTTTAAGTTACATTACAAAATAGTTAATTTTGTAATTTTTTTTTGTATACAAGAAAATGTATTGTGCTTACTTCTGGAAAAAAATTGTAGAATTATATCTCTATGCTTCTCCAACATAATTTTCTAAAACTCCATTTTTAGCTAATGGTGTTTGTGACAATGTGACATGAATGCTACAATGTAACACCTAGGATGCTGTAAAGGAGTTTTAAAGTTTCTTTACATCCAGAATATTGATAACAAAATTATCACTAGAATTTACCTAGACTGACAGGAGAGACTGAATTAGTATTATCTTGGAGATAAACACCTGTTTGCCTGAGAACAGAGGCAGAATGAAGTTAAAGCCGACATTAGTTCCTCATATCATTTTGCCCTTTTGTTAAACAATCATGAATTAAGTATGGATTTTCAGTGTTATCTTTGAATTTCCTGCCTTTATTTGTGTCACAGCCTTAAGTTTACTTAAACATAGGGGGTTTTGTATTTAAGCTTTTAGTAAGAATTAGTAAGAAATCTAGGCTTTCTCAGCTGTGGGGAGACTGTGTGTCGAATTAGGTTGATGTGAGTCTGTATAGTAGTGGGCTAGGGCAGCAAGCACACACGGAATTGTGTAACTGTCTTTTCAATTTTATGCTCTGGTTTTGGGTTTTATTGCTGGGAATTTGTTTTAAGTAAATTATTACTTACAAACTTTGTAAAGGGGCAGAGTGCTATGTACTCTGAAATACAGAAATGAGATTTTCTCTGCAAAGATGAAAGGGTTTGATTAAACTAGCCTGGAAAAGAGGACTACATGTTTTAGGGGTCTGCTTTTGTAGAAATGCTAAGTGTGAATTTACTAAGAATTACTCTAAAACTGCATTCTTACCGGTTGTGCAGGATAATAGTCTCTAGTGCTTTACTTTCACTTTAGAAAAGTAGTCAGATCAATGGGTTTTGTTTGTATGTGCAGAAAGTAATTTAAAAAGGAAAAAAAATAAAGACTCTCACAAAAAATTCAAAAGTGTTAAAAATCAGCACTTTGTACAGCTGTGCCATGAGAAATCACTTCAGAAATTTATGAAAAAACAAAGTACCCAAACTGTCATTAATAGGAGTGTGGTTAGCACAGTTTGGGAAATATGTTTATCTTGTTAACAATTCCTGTCAAGCAACCTGCAGAAGATGACAATTGTCTCAATAGCTGTCTTGTAGAATTTCCATTACCTAGTAGTTCTGGATTTTACCTAAATTAGAAAACCCCTGTTTCTAGCTGTAAAGTAATTGCACAAACCTTGGCAAAGGACCCAAGATGAACTGTTGTATTTTGCTCATACCTTTAAGATTGCGAATATTGAAAATGAGCTGTCCAGATATGTACCCTTTTGTTTCATAAAATTGTGGGTATTCCTTTTTCATATTGCCTCTTTTCATCATTTCCTGGTATATTTAGTGTCTTTGAGGACACATGATTTTTTTAAAAGGTTTTTCTTCTATGAAGATATTTGCTGAAGGAAAAACCAAGTTTCAGCAAACTATGATTGAATTATATGGTTTTTATTTTAAAATTTTATAGATGGGGCGTAGCTGTTAGAAGTAGATGTCTGGAGGAATAAGATAGTGTTTATACAGAGTCAAATCCAGCTGTCACAAAACATAGCTGTAAGTTGCGTTTTTTCTTTATAACTGGATTATGGACTCTTTTCTGAGAAGTGAGATACAGCTAACAATGTTAAAATACTTTTCTGAGATGCTGTTAAATTCTGATGTTTTAATATTTAGGCTACATGTGCTTTCAGTTTTAAAATAGATTATTTTAATTTATCAGGGGATCAGATCTTCCTACTGAATAATACAGATAAATCCCATGAGAATCGCTTGAGTTTTCTCTTCAATATTTAGCATTTGTCATGTAAATCATGAAGAATAAGCACAGGGTGGGTATTTCCTCACAAAAGAATGTTTCATTTCTGCTTCTCACTTGGATTAGCAAATCTCTGTGTGCTTGATCTCACTAAAACTTTCTTTCAGAATGTTAGTCTTTTAAAATCTGTTTTTAAAGCACCATATGTTTTGCACGGTGTTACTCAGAAAGGAAATAAATTTTTGCGGGATAAATGCAG